ACGACCGAAACATATGTATGTACATACAATAAATATTTACACAAGTATGTAGACATGTCTGTATAACGGGGAATAACCCTTACCTAGCTTTCTATAGCTTTGATATGGACACGCACAACTTAAAGGCTCTCATTAAAGTACCGAGGCTAAGCCAGTGCCGATCAGAAAGACCATTTACTCTCACCGTGTCCGTATTTTATCTAAATAAAGCTCTAAGTTAGGGTTTTTGAGCGTGGCGGTGCAAAACGCACCAAGCTCTCTAAGATAAACCCATTCACATATTCTAAAAGCAAATGCACACGCACAGTTTAAAATTTATATTTTGGAATTTATTTCAAACACATTTCCCATTCTTTAATCATGTTGCCATACCCTTCTGCAATTCATTGTCCTGTTTTTTTCTTAATTGGACTGGGGATATTTTTCCGGAAGCTCAACACGCTGGACCTGGACTTTTGTGAAAGGGAAATTTGCGAAGGCTGTCTTGGCACACGTTTCCCCTTCTTTACTTTATCGCTTTCAACACCCGCCAATATATCTCGAACTCTTACTTTCATATACTCCATTTCTGCTTCCAAAAACTTCCGTTGTACCGCCATCTTATCGATATCACTTTTCAACTTTATATTTTTGTCGTTAATTTCGTTGAATCGACGATCATATTCGTCGCTCATTGTGGCAATGCGAATTTTGTATTCCTGCAAAAGCATTAAGTCATTGGGAATTGGGGGTGTGTGAGTGTTTTGTATTTAAGGAGATGAGTAAATTCCCTGCAGCAATTCGGACTGACCCTAGGTTCGCCCTCGGATTGTCCCTATTGTTACCAGTACTAAGCATCTCTGCACTTTCAGCTACAGCTGAATATGTTTTCATATCGAGCCCTAACCGCCAAAAAGTCGTAAGCGACATTTTTTCAAAAATTTTCTTTTTTATGCAGAAATGTTCCTTGCGCAACCAAATGCATTTCTGCATCAAAAATAAAATTTTGAAAAAAATGTCGCTTACGTCTTTTTGGCGGTTAGGGCTCGATATGTTTGGTTTGAATAAAGGCCTAATCAAACGATTGGTTTTTGCTATTTACAGGGTGGCGTTGTTTGGAATTTTTTTTTTGGGCTGAACTCGATTTTTATAAAAATGCCTAGAAAACACCACTCTGTGACTGGCAAAATGTTTGTATGTAAAAATCTGTGAGAGTCTCGCTTTTTGTCTATCTCTAGACCAGTTCATTGGGGACTGGTCGAAATCTAACATTTTCGATGCAAACAAATGTTCCATTCTAACCGGTGAAGTACTGGTCCTTTGGAAAAATTGGAAGCCTTATTGCTGCATGGTTAGCTCCCTGCAGAGAAAAACCCGCACTAGTGAATCAAGTACCTAGTTCAGTAATAATTCTTGATCATCAAAAACTAACCAGTCGAATAGTAACTACATCATGAGCAGTCCAAAAGCATAAAAATGTGATACTTTCTCGAAAAATAATTACCCATACGGAGCGAGCTAGATCTCATTTTTCGAATTTAGGACTGGTTCGGAACAAGCGAGGGGCAATTGATACTTCGAGTAGAATATCTCAATGTTAAGTTCGCCAGTGGCTAGCATGCAACACAGAATAATCCCGACTTAGTCATGTCTTTAAATATTCTAGAACTGAACCAGTTCGGCGCTAGTGCGTTTCCCTACAGGGCAGCATTAGCTCGATGATAATGTTAATCTCTTGCGCCTAAAACTATGCTAGCAACATACGTTTATCGTTATATTCATTGACTGCAACATCAACCGGAAGCAATTCATTTCTGTGCTGTATTTCCTTTTGGCTTTTCTTAATTCCAAACTCAGTTGCCTTTCCTTGCTGTCATAGAGATCCTTCCATTCTGCTACCCTTTCCTTCGAATATCTGAGCTGATAACGATTCTCGATGGGATATCGGACTGTTGAGTGAACAAAACAAAAACATTTCGAGTTAACACAAGCGCCCATTAATATGTACATTGATATGCATACGAACCCCAGGATGCCATTGTTTCCAATTCCAGAAAGTTTTTGACAATGTCGCGGCCCTGACTTCGACGTTTTAATGACATATTCGTAATCGTATTGATTATCTCACATAAATACGCCACGCCGTCCTTCAGTTCTTGCTGGATTGTATTGTGCATGTCAAGTAGTTTGTGAGCATCGCTAATTTTGAGTAAGAATAAACCATTTTATTAATTTTTAAGATATATACATATCTAGATATATACTGTAATGATCATAAGGCGTTCTCACTGAGAGCCCCACTGATCCTCATTCATGTCTGTTGACGAACTATACAAAATGACTGCACCTTTGACGAAACTTACTCTATCATCCGCACCGCATTCGCTACGTATTCCTTATTTTCCGAGTAAAAACTCAACAAAACCGGCTTTATTAGTCGCGCCAGCTCTAAAATATCGACCTGCAACTTGAAGGCTTCCAAGTATTTCTCGCTTAGAGATGCTTCAAATATATCCAACCAAGCGATGCCCTTCAATTGCCGCCTGGCCAAGAATCGATCCTCTGTCCAACTGAATAGGTGAAAATGCTCCAAGTTTGTTGTTTTGATACTTTGATCGTTCATGCTGCTCTTAGTCAACTCATAGCGAATGTACAGGCAATTTTTTATATCGTTGCCTAATTTCTGTATCGCCAGCGCGCGTACTAGCTCGTAGTTTGGTCGCTGCTTATGACGCACCAGCTCCCAGAGCTTATCAGGTTCGCAGATTGAGGGAATGCTGACAAGCGATTGCGATTCTCTCACGAATTCCTGATGAAGCTCGGTCCAGCGGGTAGTCTTTAGTACATCGAACTCGAAACTTTCTCTTTTCGTTTTCTCCTCCTTTGCTTCGATATGTTCTTTTAGTTCTGGATATTTAGTTAAAAATGTGCTCAATACGTCATCGTTTAAGCTACCCGGAAGACGTGAAAGAGATCCACCCATCACCGACATTATTTCTCTGTGATCGGCTTCGTCCATATCGACGGAATGCGTCAATAAAGTCGATTTCGTCACCGCCATAGTTGCTGTAGCCGAATTGAGTGATGCTCTTTCTCAGTTCTATTTCTGCTGCCATTCTAGGACGAAATCACAGAGTTATGACGCTTGCGAAATGTGTTCTTGAATTGCGCGCATGGGTCAAGCAATTGATAGCGTAGTACCTTCGCCGAATGGAAAGACCAAAACGCCAGCAAAAAAAAATATAAAAACTAATAATAAGAAATTTATATATATAAGAATATAAAAGAGAGTTTTACAAAACACGTGTGTCTTCTATAAAAAGTTGCTATGAAATGTAAAAAAATGAAGGAAAACATATGTATGTAAATAATCATTTGGAGAGTTATAAAGTAACAGCCATGCCTAATTAAAAGCGTTGAGCGGAGCACAGCGTTAACGCTGGTAGGTTATACCTCTAAACAAAAGCACCCCGCCACGTCAAATGAGCACAAATTTGAGTGTGAGTGAAATACGAAAATGGTAATTTCATCGGCATCATAAGCCTGCAAAAAGCTGTCCGGTTCCCAATCAGGTTCGTTTACCCGTAGGAGACCACTTCTTGAATCATCTGACAACGCCAAACATGAAATTTCCACTGATAATAAACTAGGCGGGAATTCTCACCCAGGTATGTAAGAATCAAAAATTTTGAACGCCCAAGTATGGTAGACATTTTATTTTATTTTATTTTATTATATATTGTTTATAAATGAATTATATTTTTATAAATCATATGTTTTCAGTCATATGTTTTTGAGAAAAATACACCGTAGTAATTTTAAAATTTCAAAATTACATTTCTCGACTGAAAAATAAGATTTTGGCTTCTACCTGTATTTATGCAAGGCACATAAATACAGGCAAGGCACATAAATACAGGTAGAAGCCAAAATGACGTTGCTCTCATGAGAACCAAAACTTTAAACTTCAACTTGATTTTATTTTATTTCCTATATTTCGTTACGCTTAAAATGTCATGTCGTTTGTTTTTTTGAATGTTCGTTAAACACAAATTTTAATTAACATTTGCATTTTTGTAGTGTTGTGCGGTTTATACTTAGTGTATGTGTTAAAAATGCAGGACCTGAAGCGTTGTTTTTTATGTGGTGTTAAATATAATGCATAAATCTCTAATTTTTTTAACGTGCCTCAATGCCCTCGGCGTAAGGAGCGTTGGGAAAGCAGCTGTGGGGTAGAGCTGCAGCGAAATGCATTGCTGTGCGTTAAGCATTTTAAAGCAGCAGATTTCATAAATGCACCAGGAGGTACAGGAAAGGCACGTTTGATGCCAAGTGCTCTTCCTATGACCCTTATGTCGCAATCATTATTTGTGTTCCGTTGTTTTATTGATTGTCCAACGTTATGCCTAGTACATATATCGCTTTATACAAACATTTGTATATTATACAAAATTAAAACAGGTACTATAAATATAAACTTTCAATGTATAAAAAAATAGAAAAGAACATACAAATTAACAAATTTTAACTAAATAAAATAAATAAATAAATACAAAACTTGAAATTTACTTAAAAACGTCAACCAGCGAAATGTAATTTTTTTATTTTTCCTTACACACGCTCATTTTTATTTTTACTCTCCCGAAAACTTTGACTTTTGTAGGTTTGATGTCAATTTGGCTTCTACCTGTTTTTATTGTACCATGGTATTTATGTGCCTTGGGTTCGTGTGTGTGTGCAAGGGAGCTAAGGGAGTGTCAAAACTCTAATGTCACTAATGAGCAAACCTTTAATTATTGAATCATGATTCGAGCTAACTGGACGGCACACAGTGTGCTTTAAAAAAAATCATGTTTTGTACTTTTTATTATACTAGTATTATAGAATTTGAGACGAGAAACACGATTCCACTGTTTAAAAAACGAAAAAAATGTCAACCCCTCAATTTGAAAAATGCATTATATACATATTGCATTTTTTTATGATTTGCATGCAGCTGTGCATCCTTCACACAATTTTATATCCCTCGAACAACAAGTCAGTTTTAGTGCTATTCAAGATCTTTAATTTAAGCCAAGGTAGAAGTTGGCTCTTAGACGGCCTACCTTGGATCAAATTAAAGGTCTTGAAATGCACTTATTGTCCGAGGATCATAAAAAATGCAATATACAATAACATTTTTCAAATTGAGAGGTTGACATTTTTTTCCAATTTCCAACAGTGGAATCGTGTTTCTCGTCTGAAAATCTATAATACTAATATAATAAAAAATATATACATTTTTTTTAATAAATCGCAATGATGTAACAGACGAAGAGGAAGGCCCCCTCTGCGTTGGAAAGACCAAGTGGAGAAAGGGACTTGGTTTCATTTGGCATTTCCAATTGGCCTCAGTTGGCACAGAAAAGAAACGACTGTTGTGCTGTTTTGGACTCGACAAAAATCACTTACAGGCTAACCTAATATTCGCGGCTTGCGTTTTGGTACGCATGCCGTCGAATTTGTTTTTTTGCGTCACCCGAAATTGACTTGCATGCGTTTGCATTTGATTTCATTGAGCGAAACGTCAAATCAAAATGTCACGCAGAACAAAAATTGGAAATTGAGTTAGCTTCATACGCACGCCGTTCAATTTCGGTTGATCTCATACAAGTTGCATGTGCATGAGAAATTTTTGACAATAAATTGGCGGCGTGCGTGAATATTAGGTTAGCCTGTTAGGCGGTTAC